TGACACAGATGTAGCTGCGACCCGGGGCAGGGGCGTAGACCCAGCCCAGGGCTGCACACGTGCTACGGAAGAGCCCACCCGAGGACTTGGGACTTGTACTCTCTGCTTGTACTATTTGTCATATGTAGAAACCCAGGGACCCGCTTTCTTCCCTCATGTCCTAGTTCCCACTCAAGTCTTAGATCAGCAACAGATCAGTGGGAGCCAGAGACAGTCCAGCAGACGTGGGGCCTGTGCAGAGAGTTTCCAGGAAGAACGTCCCTTTGGGCCAGGCAGGAGGAAAACATCTTGCTCCAGCCTTGAACTTTACAAAGCCATACACAGAAAGAAATATAACGTATGGTTACAAAACAAAAGCAACACACTGTCATGCCACCCCATTACTGACTGCATCGGGGACCAGAGACTCCAGGCATTTACCTTGAGTTGACACTTCTAGGCCCCAGGAAAATGCTAATGCAAATTTCTTGTGCTGTGCCCTCAAAACAGAAGGCAATTGTGTCTGAAGGTCATGAAGACTTTGGTTTCTGATGTTCTTGACATTTGAAAAACTGCTTTTGTTTGCAGCAGAACTTGAGAAATAATTTTTTAACCAAGAGAAAAATTATGAAATTCTTTCTTGCAATGTGAATGCAAAAGATTCTTTTTTAGATTTTTGTTTTGCGTGGTTGTTTGAATGTGCGCCTCATGCGCGCATGACCACCGTAGTCCTCCAGAGAAGAGTGTTGGATCCCCTGGAACTGGAGTTAGTTTTGAGCTGCCACGTGGGTGCTGGGAATCTGACCAGTAAATGAACGCTCTTGACTGTTGGACCATTTTTCCATCCCCAGAAAAGATTCTTAAATAACAAAGTGTCACCTCTAAGCAGCACAACATACTTTTGCTGGTTTGTTTCTTAAGTTCTGGTCCTAGCCCAGAATGGTATTAAATTTCCCACGTAGCAGAGACCTGCTTGATTCACCTCCTGATTCGCTGCCTCCACTGTCCAGTTCTAGAGTTAGAGACTTGTGCTGTAATGATTAGTTTGTTACTGGCAATGGAACCTAGGTGCTGAAAATTCTCTCTTCTGAAAAGGCTGGCTTGCTATTTATTTGATCACCTCTTTAATGCCTTGGTACTTAGCTTCAGCTTAAATGTGGCGTATTTGTCTGATGATATAAGAGGGTATTGGGCCCCTGACATTATGCTTGTGCTATGCTTGCAGACAGGAGCCTAGTACAATGGTCCTCTGAGAGACTCCACCAAGCAGCAGTTAGAAACAGATGCAGGGACCACACAGCCAGACATTGGGTGGAGCTCGGGAAATCTTGTGGAAGAGTGGGAGGGAGGATAGAGGGATCTGGAGGGGACAAGAACTCCACAAGAAGATCAACAGAGTCAACTAACCTAGGCCCGTGGGGCTCACAGAGACTGAAGCACCAACCAAAGAGCATGCAGGGGCTGGACCTAGACTCTCTACACATATGTAACCGATGGGCAGCTTGGTCTTCATGTGGGTCCCCTAGCAGGTGGAGTGGGGCTTTCTCAGACATGGATTCTGTTGCCTGCCATTGGATCACTTTCTGCTAGCTGGGCTCCCTTCCCTGGCCTCAGTGGAAGAGGATGCCCTTAGTCCTGATAGGCCTTGTGTTTGTACAGGGGTAGATGGCGGGAGAGTGGGACGGGAAAGTGAGGAGGAGGGGGCTGTGACCAGGAAGTAAAGGGAATAAAGAAAATTTTTAAAAAAGAGGGTATTGGGTGTCTTCCTCTGTTGCTCTCTACCTTATTCTTCTGAGGCAGAATCGCTCACTAAACATGAACCTGGAACGAGGTATGCAGGCATGCCTGTGCCGCAGCCCCGCGAGGGACGGAGACAAGAAGATAACTGGCATTTGCTGGGTGCCACCCAGGCTTTCCTCAAAGAAGAAGGGAGCCACATCTCCAGCCCTGACATCCATTCCTGATGTGGCTTCCAATTCCTGATTCCAGAAGCATTCGATGTGTTAAAATAGCTCGAGTTGATTTAGACTTGACATGAGATTTTCTAGAAAAGCAAAGCACAATACAAGGCTGGGGAGATGCTCAGTCACTAAGAGCATTTGCTACTTAACTGTTAGATAAGAACCCGGGCACTGTCTGAGGCATGTGCAGCCTCAGCACCGTTGGGGGCGGAGACAAGATAACTGGCATTTGCTGGGTGTCAGCCCAGCCAAAAAGTTGTTTCAAGTTAAGTAAGAGACTCTACCTCAAAAGATAAAGTAGAGAGTGACAGGGGAGACAGTCGATACCCTCTTATGGTCTCTGTGAGTACCCGCCCACGCGCGCGCGCACACATGCCACGTTCGGGCTTTAGCTTGTGCACACTGATGTGCGTGCACACAGCAAGGCAATAAAAGTGTCGAATAAAGAGCAAATCAGTCTTTTCAGAAAAATGAATTTTGAGTTAATGTTATCTACTCATTGTATTATTGTAGTATTGCTTGCTCTGAATTACGTTAAAACAAGTGTTCAAATCCCAAACAGATCTGAATTTTTATTTATTTATTATGTATAGTGTTCTGCCTGCATATATGCATTCACACCAGAAGAGGGCACCAGATCTCACTCTAGATGGTTGTGAGCCACCGTATGTTTTTGGGGAATTGAACTCAGGACCTCTAAGAAGAGCAGACGGTGCTCTTAACCTCTGAGCCATCTCTCAAGCACCAGATCTGAGCTTTAAAAGGAATTACATTTAGTTGGGCATGGTAATGCACACGCGTGAGCTCAGGACTCAGCAGAGGCAGGTGGATCACTGCACACGTATGAAGCCAGCCTGAGCTACTTACTGAACACCTGTCTCAACTCAGGGGCAGGGCTCGGGCTGCTCAGCAGACAAACACGTTTGCCATCCTAACCCTGGCGACTTGAATTTAATCAGCAGAGCCCTGTGGAAGGAGATGACTGAGGCTCGCAAGCTGTCTTCTGCCTCCCACACGCTTGCTGTGGTACACATGGCCCACCCAACAAAACAAATAAGTGAAGAAAAAGAAGAAAGGGGAGAGCGGTACATAGGGACTAAGTGCTGTGGGCGTATATATGCAGGTACACACCACACCACCTATATAACACATATGTTGTATCATGTATAATATATTGTGTGTAATATATCATACACCACCATCCATGAAAAAGTCAATGTGATTACTATGGTTTAAGTATATTTGCTTTTCAGAATAAAATTAGGTACAGTAAAACTGAAGGACTCTGTAAACCAGCGGTTTGCAACGTGTGGGGCGCCAGACAGCCCTCTCCCAGGGGTCACACTCACACATCAGATATTTACATTACATTTCATAACAGTAGCAAAGTTACAGTCATGAAGTGGCAGTGAAATAGATTTATGGCTGGGAATCACCAGCGTGAGGAACCGTAGAAAGGGCGGCAGCATTAGAAGGCTGAGAGCCGCTGCTGTAAACAAATGCTCTTGCTCTGCTTGGCAACAGACAAGATCATTCTGGTTCAGAAGAACCACTGCACGGGGTTCTCCTGGGAGAACTGAGAGTGAAGAGACACTGCTGACTGGGAACTAGCGTTGTGTGTCTAATGATCTCCATCTGCTGTCATTAACCGTTTTTACACTTTTGTTTTGTCTTTTGTTTTGTTTCTCCAGACAGGGTTTCTCCATGTAGCTCTGCCTGTCCTGAAACTCACTCTGTAGACCAGGCTGGCCCCAGAGAGATCTGCCTGCCTCTGACTCCCAAGTTCTGGGATCAAAGGCATGAGCCACCACTGCCCAGCTCAGTTTTTACAATTTTGTCCTGGATTTTTAAAAGCTTGAAATTTGTATTTCCTGTAACCAAAACAATTTTTTTTCTTCCTAAGTAAAATAAGTATGATCAGAACCTGTCATAGGGCGTGATAACTGGACACATTTTTAAAGTAATATTTTTGCACATGTGAGGGCCCTTCCCTTTATTTTTATTTATTCTTTTTTTTTTTTTTTTGAGGCGGGGTCTGTCTTGACTGCTGCTGCTGTACACACTGCAAACTAACTGGCCCAAAGCTACTGGAGAATTCTGCTTCCGGGTTTTTTGGGTCTGACCTCAGCTCATCAGGTTTGTGCAGCAATCACTTTTACCTACTGAGCCATCCATAAAAATACAGATTTTTAAAGTGGTCCCCGGTCCCGCAAAATTAGAGCAGGAGAGTCATAAAAATAATCGGACACATAGAATTTGTTTCGGGAAGCAATTTTCAAATTACGTTCTCACTGAGTTTATAATGCTCTCAGCCTTATAATTGTTCTTTTCGTTTGCTTGCATTTGTTTTTTCCCTCAGCTATCATGCAACTGAGGCCGGCTTTCAATTCACTATGTAGCCCAGGCTAACCTTGCGCTTTCTGATCCTCCTTCCTCCCCCTCCAAGTGTTGAGGCTGCAGCATCTAGCCCTGCAAAGAAAACTCTCCCGGAAGGGAACTTACGTAAGCTAAGAGCTATGGAGGTAGAAAAAAAAGAACAGTATCAGGAATCTGAGGGACAATGGAAGCATACGGGTTTGTTTCTTTTTTACCACGTAACAGGTTACTAAGAACTTACTGGAGATGAGCATTCTGAGAAGTGCGGGAGAAGAAGCAGCGCGCTTGAAGAAGAGATGCTATGCAAAGGCAGAGGAACCTCTCCTAACTCAGGCCGAGCTTCCTGGCGGTCCTGAGTGCTGGGAATTTAGATGAATATTCCAGAAGTAAGTCAAGTCGTGGAGAAGGCGTGATATCAGCATAAATTCTTTATTTAGCTTAATTTTACCTCCTCCTGCTTAGAAAAATTGTGTGTGTGTCTGTGTGTGAGCGCGCGATTAAAAAAACATCTAGCAGAAAAGCGCTAAGGTTGCATTCCCTTTTCTCACCGCCAATCCCGCTTGTGAGCTGAGCAAAAGCTGACATTCACCCTCCGGCCAGCAGGGGGCGAGAGGCAGCGTACCTTGGCGTCCCCGGCCCCGCTCTTCCCCACGCCGCTTGCGTAGTGGCGGTGCTACATACTGCGCATGCGCACGGGCATCCGGTCTTTTTCCCCTAGCGAGGCCGGGCTTGCAGGTCTGAGAGGAGCCGCGGTCGCGGGGGTCTGTTCCGCAGGATGGTGAGTGGGCATCGGGGAGTCGGGGCCGCGCGTGCACGTGGGCGCCCCCTCCTTTCGCGGGCGCCCGCTCGGGACGGCCCGTGCGTCCCGGGGCGCCGATGGCGCTCGATTCCCGGCTCCGCAGCCGCCGCTCCCAGCGTGGCCTTAATGGCTGCCGGGGTGCGAGCCGGGGGAGGGGCGGGCCGCGGCGCCGGGACGCAGCCTCCGAGGCCGAGGGCATGCAGCCGCCTCGGCTCGTCGGGAAGGCTCTGCGGAAGTCGGGCCCCCGCGGAGGCGGCCTCGGAGCCGCGGGTGTCCGTGGAGGCTGGAGGCCGTGTCTTGGACTTGGCGACCCGTGGCGCTTCCTAGTTGATGTGGCCTTCGCTTTCAGTGTCTTGTGGAGTCGGGCCCCAGCGATGTGGTGTTGGCTTCAGCCGGCTCTGCCGGTAGCCTCAGTTTAGGCTTCCCCAAAGGACAGGGAGGGCGAGTTGTGACGTCCGGTTCTCGAGGTGTGTGTATATATATATGTGTGTGTGTGTGTATATATAGTATGTATTTTCCGTGTACTGTATATTGTCCCCGAAGGTTGGCATAGGAATCAGTTGGTACGGTCCCGAAATAGGAGCCTGCAGTTGTGGAGGGCTGGGATTGGTTCGGGGCCTTGCTCCGGCCAGGCATCTTTACAGGTTTCTTGATAACTTAAATGCAGTTCTCAAGAGGGGTCGCGAATCTACCTGATCGTTACGATTCATAACAGCAAAGTGAAGTTCTGAAAGAGCAACGAATTTTATGGTTGGGGGTCACCACAACATAAAGAACCAGGCCATAGTCAAGGGTTGCAGCGTTAAGGCTGAGCCACTGCGCTAGAGTGATTCTTGTCTCCAATCAGTTTGGAAACATGTAAGGATATTTGACGGTCGTAATGATTTGCTCTTGAAATTTAAATGTTACATTGTTACATGGTTAACTCAAGTCAAAAATAGACTAAAGCCAGGTGGTTCGTACCTATTATCTCAGCACTCAGAAGCTATCAAACTCTAGGTCATCCTGGGCTACATAGTTGACAGCCTGTCTCAAAAAAAAAAAAAATCATCGAAACATTTAATAAAGCACTGATAACACTTTCTTTTCTTTCAAGGGGTTTGTTAAAGTTGTCAAGAACAAGGCCTACTTTAAGAGATACCAAGTGAGGTTTAGAAGGCGACGAGGTATGAGCAGCTTTTCTTGTTTTAGTTTCTGAAGAGAATCAGCTTCATGGTGGAATGGTCTTAATTAATTAATTTTCTTGCAGAGGGCAAAACTGACTACTATGCTCGGAAACGACTGGTGATCCAGGACAAAAATAAGTACAACACACCCAAGTATAGGATGATAGTCCGTGTGACTAACAGAGACATCATCTGCCAGGTGAGCTGAGTTCCAGTGTGAGCGCTGTGACCAGACTCCACTAGTCCTTCCGTCAATTGAAGATTTTCTTGAAGTAGAAGGTTTAACGCTGAGACTGCAAAATTGCTATTTTTGGCCAGGTTCGGAAATCCTGACCCAGGTTAATTTCCATTATCGAATTTGGGAGAAAGGCTGGGAAAGTTTTTGTGAATAGTCTCATTGCTATGAGTTTGCCCGTGATAACTGCTGGTCTTCCTATCTGGGCTCGTGCCAGTGACCATTAAGAGTGGTGAGACTTGCCATCTAGATTAGATGGTTTGTGCATGTAATCCCAGCACTCCAGTGTGGAGGCAGGATTTACTCTGGTTTTCGCTTTGAGAGCTGGATTTGAAATTCCAGCTCAGCGCTTGTGTACTGTTTGAAATAGGTTTTAAATGTACAAGAATGTCTTCCACTTTGAAAGATCTCTAAAAAAAAAATGGCAGTTCCTATGTTAAGAACTTTTTACAACTTCAGAGGGGTGATCAGAATAGACCTTGTTTCTGTGTAAATTTGTTGATTGAAGGCAAGGTTGTCTTATGTTCTGATAACTAAGTGTGGGCTGTCTAAAACAGAGTTGAATTTAGCTCAAAAGACACTTTAATTAGATGATTATTTTCTTTTTTGTCAACTTGACTTTTGGGGGGAGGTTCCAGACAAGGTCTCTGTAACTTTGGCTGTCCTCTGTAGACCAGGCTGGTTTTTAAAATTTTTGCTTTTGTTTTTTGAGATGGGATCCCACTGTATGGCCCAAGCTGATCTGGAACTCTCTGTAGACCTTGAACTTAGGTCTACCTCCTGTTAATATATTAAACATGTTTGCCACCCTGCCTGGCTCTTTAGACAGTCTTGCTGTATAGCCTTGAGCTTAGGCCCTATTTGAAATGCCCCCTGCCCAGTTTCTTGATCGACTTTTAACTGCTATGATTTCACCAGTTCGACCACCTTAAATGTGTTGAACGGTTGTATGATTAAGATCAACATGCTGTATCTATTTTAGCCATGCTGTGTTTGCTAAACTGCTGTGTAGTTGACACACACAGACATAAATGTTCATTGAGTTGTCTCTTTTCTCCACATCCTGTTAAGGTTCTTAGGGGGGGACAGGTCCTGAAGCAGAGGAAGCACCACATTAATGGCCTGGTTTTTCCCTCACTGCAGATTGCATATGCCCGTATAGAAGGGGACATGATAGTCTGCGCAGCATATGCACATGAACTGCCAAAGTATGGGGTGAAGGTCGGCCTGACCAATTACGCTGCAGCGTATTGCACTGGCCTGCTGCTGGCCCGCAGGGTACGTACATATTTTCAATGACTTTAAAAGAGCACCGGCTTTTCCTGTGGCTTGCAGTCAGCAGCAAAGAGCATGGTTCTATCAGTCTGGGAAGCAGTCTAGTTGTCTTAACTAGTTGTTTCGGGATCAGTGTAGACCAGTTGATAGTTCTCTTCAGTGGTGGGAGTGGTGTGGTTTGCTATCTTTGGGGGTAATCACTAGACTTTTGTGGTTTTAGCATTTCAAATAGTCTCATGCTGCTAAGAACTGACATTTTGTAATTATTTGCATATGTGTGAGGGCACATGTCTGTCTCAGCATACTGGTGGTCAAGAGGATGACTACTCTTCCACCGTGTGTCCCAGGGGTGGGACTTAGATTAGCAGGCTTGGTTGCAAAGTGCCTTCACTGTCTGGGCCAACTTGCCCTTGTGAGAATGGCTAGTTAGGCTTCAAAGACCCAGGTACCTACATATGTAAGGCTGAAGAAAGGTGCGAGTCACACAGGGTTGAGTGTGGAGAGAGCTTTATGTTGACTTGTGTTCACAGCTTCTCAATAGGTTCGGCATGGACAAGATCTACGAAGGCCAGGTGGAGGTGACTGGAGATGAGTACAATGTGGAGAGCATTGACGGTCAGCCCGGTGCCTTCACTTGCTATTTGGATGCAGGTCTCGCCCGAACTACAACTGGCAATAAAGTTTTTGGGGCCCTGAAGGGAGCTGTGGATGGAGGCTTGTCTATCCCGCATAGGTAATAAGTAGTAGTCAGGGTTTCTGCCTTGACCCCAGTGTTTCCTGTTTGTTACTGACTGGACTGTGGCAGTCGTTCAGGGCCTGCTCTGTGCTAGTTGCTGCACGAGGAGCCTGTGTATTGAGGAGATGGTCTCACGCTAGCCCGGGCCAGCCTGGAACTTGGGATCTTCCGGCCACTGCCTGGCCCTCTGCATTTTGCTTTTACAGTCAGGTTGATTACTGGGTTGGGGGGAACTTGGCTTCTAAAAAACATTTATAGACAAATACTTGATTTCTGAGCTTTTGGCTATTAAGATTGCTGGATAGTTTTTGGAATTCAGTAAATTAACTTGTAATTCCTTAGAGATAGTGCATTTTTGGTAAGTTTTTGTAGTGTAAGATCAGTCTACACTATAAATTTCACCTTGAATAGCTGTGTTGATTGTGACTTTAGACAAATCACCAATTCTCTTATCCTAGCTACTGCTGAGATACGGGGATTTGAGGGTGAGTCTTCCTGCCTCCTGTGCTAGTGGCCAAGGGAATATGTGCTAGAAAGCGGGGGTGCTGACCTGGCTGTGTGGGTGCTTGTGGGGTCAGGATGGCTAGAGACTGCCCTGGGCAATAGAGTTGGACTCCGAAGGTGAGAAGCCAATGTTTGTGGATTCAGAAATGAGCTGCTAGTGATGACACCCGCTGACTGAGCAGTTGGTAGTTGGTCCTTCGATTGCATGTGATGCAATAATTGTTTCAAGACGGGACTGATGGCAGCTCCTGAAGTGAATTCCTGCGGGTGCAGTGATTTCTTGTCTGTACCCTAAAGTGTGAAAATCTTCATTTTAGTACCAAACGATTCCCTGGTTATGACTCGGAAAGCAAGGAGTTCAACGCAGAAGTGCATCGGAAGCACATCATGGGTCAGAATGTTGCAGACTACATGCGCTACCTGATGGAGGAAGATGAAGATGCCTACAAGAAACAGTTCTCCCAGTACATAAAGAACAACATCACTCCAGACATGGTAACGATTCACCTGCGCGTACCCGATCACTTTAGAAACAACTGCTTGCTTAGTTTAGTGGTTGTAGTTTTATATAGCTTATTTCATTAAATGCTGCTTTGTGGGTAGGTAAGCTGACTCTGAAGGTAGCATATTGACCTGCGGGAAAGGGTATTTTACCCATATGGCTATAAGTGGGCTTGCAGCATTTAAAAGCCTTGGATGCAAACGGGGGTGAGTGGAAGGACTAGTTCCTGCACTGCCTGCTTCATCTTGCTGGTCAGATTGCTGTGTATTTGTGCAAACTCGATCACTAGCTCTGCATAATGTGGCAGCAGCTAAGGGAACCAGGTTTGCTAGAGCAGCTGTGGTGATAGCAAAGTACCAGCCTCAGAAACTACTGAGGTGCCTGTTCTGTCCCCCAACAGTCCTGCTTTTTAGGAGAAACTTTTTTTTTTTCTTTAAGCATGCTTTCTCTGTGTACCCCTAACTATGCTGGAACTCTCTGTAGACCAGGCTTGCCTTGTACTCAAGAGATCCACCTAACTTTGCTGGGTTTGAAAGTGTATGCCATCACTACCCCTTTTGGGTCTGGGGAAACCAGGCCTCATATTCTCCTGGATTTGTCTAGGAACTTGATATCATCCAGGGCTGCCTTCAAACTTAAGATAGTCTTTACTTAAAAGCATGAGCTACCATGCCCTACTGTGATTAGCATTTTGATTTTCAGATAAAAATACAGTTTATCATTCACTGAAATCCTAGGGAGGTGCACAGGTATTTAGCAAAAGTAGGGAAAGGAATTGTTCTTTGATATTGGAAATCTACCAGCTCTAAAGTTTCATATTTAAGATGATCTGTATTAAAACATTGGAATAATTGAAGACTGTAGTTTTGAGATTTTAGTAAAAATTACATTGTTATTACAAAGCTATTATTGCTGTAAAGTGTGGCTTGGAAAATATTTTCTGTGGTCTGTGTGCTTTGGACATTATTCTAGACTAAACCCAGTTTGAGCTTTAGGAGGTGAAAGCTTTTACTGCACTTCACTGCAGTCTTTTCTGGGTCTTGTACTAACCTGCTTGTGTTAGGCTTGTTCAAAACTTTAGTTACTCAATGATGCTTTCCAAGAGCAAGTGCTTTTTATTTTGTGGTGTTGGGGATTAAACCCAGGGTTTCCTGCGGAGCTAAGCATACGTGCTCGACCTCTGAGCTTTTATTTTTTATCTTGAGCATTCTCAGTGTACCTGCTGAAATTCTCTGCAGACTTAGTGTTTCTTGACAGAGAATGGTCAAGAAATGGACTTAACCTAAGTCCGTGACTTTGTCTATGTATATGATGCCTCTATATTCTCTGTTGAAAAAGCCAGGTTGTGTTTTTTTTTTAAGTTGATCATTTGTAACTTTCAGACGGACTTGCTGAATATAGTGGGGCTGTATGGCAGAGAGCCGAGGCAGTAGATGTGTTTCCTGAGATGGGATATCAGCGTATATAGGCTTCCCTTGAACACTTTTCCTGAGGACTGGGTTCACAAGCCTGCGACACCACATCCAGCTAACAAAACATGTCCATCCCAACGCAGAGAGACTGAGGCAGCCTGCATTTCACAGGGGACTTTGTCTCTTAGGGGTTGGGAGTGAATTAAAATAGTTGATGTACAGTATAGCAGATCTTTCTGCGTTATTTCCTCGTTTTCACCTCCGTATTGAAATGAGTCACTTCAGAAAGCTGGATTACAGTTCCTTTAATTAAAAATGGGCTGGGATCAAGCTGTTGTATCCCTGTTCTTGAACACCCCTACTTTAGGGGGCTGCAGTTAATACTAGACATTGGGGAGGGTTACAACTTTGTTTTGTTTGGTTGGTTTTTTTTCGAGACAGTTTCTTTGTAGCCTTGCCTGTCCTGAACTCACCTTGTAGACCAGGCTGTCCTTGAACTCTGCCTGCCTCTGCCTCCCAAGTGCTGGGATTACAGGCATGCACCACCGCATGGCTGAGCTTTAAAGTAAGTTTAAGAATCAAACTTAAAGTCTAATCAAATAGGTAACGTTTAGGGGTTCTTCCTAGAAGACCTCAGGAGCTTTTTCAGTTCTAGAGACCATACTAGCTGCCATGTACTAAAATTGGCAACGGTAGTGTGCCTTTGGTACTGGGAGTTGCTTTAAAAGGCCTGTCACATAAGAGAAATGGGAGGTTACCGATTTGGCGGGGCGTCCTCTTCCTGCATTCTTGTATTCAGTTAGTATTTCTTATCCCTGTATTATCTGCATCTTAAATCTCTTTGGTTTGGGCGAGCACCTTGAACAAATTTAGGTCAGGCAGTAGACTAGAGTGTGGTGTAGGTCTACAAAGATAAGTTTGTTGTGGACTCCAGACACGGCTGCCTTCCTCAGGGATACGTGCAGATTATTCACGTCAGACATTGAGCTGTTGTAAGGAAAAGGTCCGTTACACTCTGAGATTTAAGCAGGCAATACTGACTTAGCTAATGACGTTCCCTTTGCAAACTGAAGTAGAGGAGGGAGCAGGTTCTGTACCCCAATAATAGGGCACATGAGGTGAAGGCAAATACTGTTTGCTTTGCTTTGTTCCAGATGGAGGAGATGTACAAGAAAGCCCACGCTGCTATCCGAGAGAACCCAGTCTATGAGAAGAAGCCCAAGAGAGAAGTGAAGAAGAAGAGGTGTGTACTTTCACTCTCTAAAAGAGGCTGGTGGTTCCTGCACTGCCTGCTTCATCTTGCTGGTCAGATTGCTATGTACTTGTGCAAACTCGATCACTAGCTCTGCATAATGTGGCAGCAGCTAAGGGAACCAGGTTTGCTAGAGCAGCTGTGGTGATAGCAAAGTACCAGCCTCAGAAACTACTGAGGTGCCCTGCTGTCCCCCAACAGTCCTGAGTTTTATTAGTGCCTAAAGAAGAGATAGCCATTGCAGTCGAGTTAGGAGTGTTCGAACTTGACATGCAGGTGATGGCACTCTGTTGAATGAAGCATGATTGCCAAAGCTCAGAGCTCCCCAAAGGGTGTATAGGAACATCCTGTCTCCAAACAGATTTTCAGCTTCTATCCAATTACAGAGGGTTTTTTTTTTTTCCAGCTGAACTTGTGAGTGCTACATTCCTGTCTTTCTTATTCCTTATTTTGTTTTGTAGGTGGAATCGTCCCAAAATGTCCCTTGCCCAGAAGAAAGATCGGGTTGCTCAAAAGAAGGCAAGCTTCCTCAGAGCTCAGGAACGCGCTGCTGAGAGCTAAAGCAGTTTCTATGAAGATTTTTTTCATAAAGACAATAAACTTATTAGCCAAGAAGCTATTTCTGTGTTAAGCTGTTAATTGTGACACTATAGGAAATAGCATGAAGTTACAAAAGAAAAGGAGTGGATAATTTTATTTATTTGCCTTTTTTTTTTTTTTTTAAGAAGTATTTTACTATGTATTATCTCTGGCTGACCTGGAACTCACATCCACCTACCTCTGCTGGGACTAAGGGCAAGCGTCAACCCCACACCTGGCTGAGAATTTTTTTCATCTCACAAAACAAAGCTTAGTTTTTTCCAGAAAAGCCATGGGTTTTTACGTGGGTTCCAGCAAAATTCGTGACTCTTAGGCTTTTGGTCTTTCCTGGATTGAGTTTCCTGATTGAATTTCCTGATATCGGATCTGGTGAGCAACAGACCCATGATCTAGGACATAGGTCTTCTGTTTATTAAAACCAGAGGATTAGGGGGAAGAGAAGCTTCAGTCACTCTTGAAAGCAAACTGATAGTAATCCATAGCTTTCAGGTTTAAGTTTGAGCAGCAAGGGCAGGGCGTTTCTGTGTTTGATCTATGCAGATGTTGAATAAGCCAGACTGAAATATACATAAAGAAAAACTTGAAAGGATCAAATACTAAACTTTGCATGCCAGGTTTCCATGGGAAAGTACTGGGTGACACATTTCTGTCTCTTTCGGAATAGCCCTTCATCCCACAAGAAGCAAAAACTTGAATGTAGTTCATTGTCAGCTGAGAGTATGGGTTTTGATCACCTCTGGCCTTAAAGTGGTACTGTCAACAAGTCAGGTGAGCAGTTCCTGCTTATGTCACCCCAGCCTGAGCCTGGGTGAGGAGTAAGATGACCCTATCAGGTAATAAAAGTTCACTAATTTCGGTCACACTACTATCTGCACGTTAGCTGTGGGATACATCCTGAGGCTGAAGGTCACCTGGCAGTTTCCTCCATCTCAAGTTAGAATGTGTAAGTGTAATACAATAAACCATGCTAATGACACTTTCTAATAAAGGAGTCACTTTAATTTACTTGGTTGTAATTTGTGTTAATGTGCAAACTTACCATGCTAAAACATTAGTAAATTCATGTATAAATTTCCTTGTTTTCAGCAGCTTCAGTGCAAACAATGTCCAGCAATGGGACCAGCTAACATCTACAGAACGCTCACTGTTCATGGAATGAGGCTTTTCACAGCATTAACTTTGTTTTCAGTCGAAAATGGTTAACAGTGAGTGTACTTGTGAACTCATGAAAGGGCAGGAACAAGTTTTCGACATCTCTTGGCCCTACACCTGCCATGGTCGTAACATGCATTTAAGATGATGGCTTCCCAGGCCCTGGGGACAGAAGCCATTCTTTTAAATGCTCAAAATTCTCCTTCATTAGTAATTCTCAGTGAAGGCAACAGTCCAAATGAGCTAAGAGTCATTTGTGTAGGAAATTTTCTTCCACAGTAACGTTTTTAGGTTGTTCAATATCAAAGAATGTTCCATTTCCATTTGACTTGCTGTAACTTTGAGAGCAATACAAGAATAAAGCTGCTTTTCTAGTTCTTCGCGGATTTCGCTTGGAGCACCATGCAGCAGGTAGTCCTTGAGTAACTGACAGGCTTTTGCCAGGTTTGGTTGTATCACTTCTGACGTGCACTTCATCGTGCTCAGGTCACAGCTAGTTCTACAGTCTGCACCGTAGACACAGTCTAGGTCGGACTCACAGTGGCGGTCCTTGATAAGTTCCTTTAGGTTTGTCTCTGGCACAATTTTTCTCATATCTACCATTTTCAAATCATACTTGTCATTATAGCCTAGGTTTTTGGCACTCGTGTCACACATGAGGAAGTTTCCGTAGGGGCCATGGAAGACATCCTCCACAAACTCTAGAAGTCCTATAGCTATCTTGGCCTTTCGGGGCCATGATGGCGTGAACAGTTGATCCATGCTCCTCCTGAATCCAGATGGAATAAACAGTTCCATAACCCACGGAAGGCTTATTCCATACAGAGAGGTGTATTCAACACTTTCCATCACGTACAGATCTCCACAGAACCCCATCAGTTTGGGGGTATGTTCTTTATCTTGAAGTATCACCATCAGGAGAAACTCATTTAGCTGCAGAAGTGCCCATGCTGACTTGGCTTCTCCTAAGGACACCTGACCATCTCTGTCTCCATCGGCCACTGTCAAGATGAGGTTGACCAATTCAGAAAGGTTTCCTTGGTCACCTAATTTTGCCTGTCAAGACACAGAAGGAATGTAAATTAGGATCCTAAACTCAAAGCCGGACTGCAGCTGAGCAAGTAAATCTGAAAAGCTGCTGGAGTGTAGCTCTTCAGTGCCAGTTAGTCCAAAAACACCCAAAATGCATCTATATAAAAGAATCAGGTCCAGGTCACACCATCATGCTAGCAGGTATCTCGTCATTGAATCAAAGGAAATGTCCTGCATCTCCAAATACGGAGTATTTTTTTATGTATGTTTGTGCATGTCTGAGCATGACAGACCTTGGTGTGTGACTGAAAGCTGGAGGACAACTTGGGGAAATCAGGTCCTCCTCACCGGTGGATTCTGGAGACTGAAATGCAGTTAATGGGATTGGTGATTGGTGGCAAGTGACTACTCTGAGCCATCCATAGAATAAAAAGTAAATCACTTCCAATTACTATTTTTGTATGTTTACGTTTTCTTTCTTTTGAGATGGTCAGCTGTTGCCCAGACTCCAAACTCCTGATTCTCTTGCCTCTGCCTTACACCATAAACTTTAGATTTAAATAATTAATTTCAAGGCCAATGTAATGGTGCAGCTGTAACCCCGGCTACTCAGAAGGCTGAGGGAGGAGGGTTCAAAGCCAGCCTGGCCAATTTAGTATGCTCAAAAATAATTTTTTTTTTTGTTCTTTTTTGTTTTTTTAAAGGAAGGGCTAAAAATACAGTTCACTGGTCCCATATAAGGCTGGGGATGTGGGTCACTGGTCTGTCCTTGGTTCGTTCCCCATAGAAGAAGGAACAATGGGGTGGGAATCCAGGGAGCTAAAATATTCTGATCTTATTTGACTCTTTTGGTGTCTATTGACTTATGCATGCACACGGCTGCACCAGGTAGCCCTGGTTGTCCTGTACCTCACTATATGGCCAAATGGCCTCAGAGTTGAGGCAACTCTTGTACCTCAGTCTCCCTGAGATTTCAGGTGTAAGCCATTGTGCCTGCCTCTGCGAATGTTGAAATGTATAGCACTCTAGTACCCTCAGCTATTTAAAAACAATATACAGGTTAATATCCTTCAGTTTTTTTCCCTCTGAATCATTTCCTCCAAACAGTCTCTGTGGAGTAAAAGAACGCCAACACTATGGCGAGGGAGAGGGCCCTGCCACTTCCTCCGTGAGGATGGGCTTCCTCCTGGACGGCAGACTACGTATACTCACCTTAAAGAGACTGTAGACCATTTCTTTGAATTTCTGTACAGTAGTCCCCCTGGTTGGTTTATCAAATAGCACTATCTCTTTTCTTGGCTCCAATTCAGTTCCAAAGTCAAGATGCAGAGCTTGTTCCATCTGACATTTCACAACACCTGGCAGATTATCCCAGATTCCTAAATACATCTTTGTGAAGAAGAATGACAAGTCGTATGAAGGGCTGCACAGAGCAGACAGCTGCATTTTCAGGTCCACCCAACAAATACAAGCAAGCACTGAGCCACCCAGCGAGAACTGCCACTTTATTTTCACCCTTTGGGACAGTCTCACTGTGTAGCCCAGGCTGGCCTCGAACCAGATCCTCCTGCTTAACCTGAATAGGACATGCACCAGCAGACCCAGCTCCTGACTTCATTTCTGAATGCAAATCTGAAGCATCCCTGAAGCCTTCTTCCTTAAATGACTTTTAAAAGGTGAAAAGTAAAATCAGAAGGGTGTTAGGCAAAAGCAAGTTCCACTATGTTCTACTTCTCTTGTCCCTAGTTTGGGAGGACACTTTGTGCAGCTAAGACCTCACCCTACTCTGTTGAGGCTGGTGGTGAAGAACGGACGTTAAGTAGGTATGCTTCAAATTAACAGTGTGCAGTGCTTACTACATCTTATGCAAGGCTGAGTTCCCCGCAGAGAGCCCAGAAAGGGTGTGTTGGGAAACTTAAAGAGGACAGATGTGAAGAACCAGAGATACGTGCTGAGGTGTTACAGGCAGCAGAGCAAGTGACCGCTGTGGCTGGGTCTGCTGGAGGCAGCATGCCAGGGTGTCTGAATGCCAGAAAGAAGCTTTAGGACTTAACTTGTGTCTATGTTCATCCTCTTCTTTCTGTCCCTTCATTCCTCCATCCGGGATGGAATGATCTCAACAAACACTCCTCAAGGTTCAGACAGTGTGTAAATAATGGGAAGAGGGGAGTAGGAAACCTTTGTTTGTTTCATTTGTGTCAGGGTCTTTCTAGGTAGGCCAGGACTGCCTTGAACTCACTGGGCAGTCCAGGCTGACACGAAATTTGCAATGGTTCTCTTCCTTAGTCTCCCAAGTGCTCAGATTATAAACATGGACCACCATACCTGGATTAATAAATACCTACTGAGCCAGGTGCGGTGTCACATGCCTATAATCCCAGTGCACAGAGGCAGAGACGGGCAGATCTCTTGAGTTCGAGGCCAGCCCAGTGTACAGAGTGAGCTCCAGGACAGCCAGGGCTACACTGAGAAACCCTGCCTGAAAACAAGACAAGCGAGCAAGCAAACACCCACAGAAGTCCTAGAATATATCTGTTTTAACCCCAGGTGTGGGGACGTGGGGCTACGGCCCACTGTCCACAGCAGGGACTGTGTTTGCCTCTTGTTCTGGTGGAGGTGTGGTTTTGCCTGCTGTAGATGGTTTCTGTGACTGTATGACCTTTGGAATTCTGGGACCTTTTCAGAGGTTATATAAATTCTAGGGCCCCAAGAGGTGTGTGTGCGGAGTTGTTGGTCTTGGTTTGTTAAGAAGTTGTGCACAAAGAAGAAACAAAGAGAAGAAATTAGATCTCCTGACTGAAGCTCAAACTTGCTCCAAGAACCTTGACGCCCCAATCAGCAGGCAGTCTACCCAGTCCAACCCCTGGCTGTACAGGAATCTTTCCTTTCTGCTCTGTCCTTCTCTCTTATCTAGTGTTAGAGGGTGGAAAGTAGGGAAGAAAATGGGGGATGGGTAGAAGGAAGAAGAACCCATCAAGCAGCAAATCACACCACCACACTGGGCTTCAGAAAAAAAAAATTTTTTTTTGAAACAGTTTCTCTGTGTAGCCTGGTTGCCCTGGAACTCACTCTGTAGACTAGGCTGGCCTCGAACTCGCAGAGATCCGCCTGCCTCTGCCTCCTGAGTGCTGGGATCACAGGCGTGCGACACCACTGCCCAGCTGCTTCAAAGATTTTTTGACTAATGTTTTTAGTTTAAGGGAAAACTAGAGTTTACTAGCCAGGTACAGTGGTACCATACTGTAAACACAGCTCTTAGGAGATGGAGACAGAGAGAGAGGCCAGTCTGAGCTACAGAAGACTCTGTAGCACAGAACAGTAACTAATGGTGACACAGTGGTCATCATCCTGGCACTCTGGAGGCTATTCAGAACGCCATACCTGGTTGTTGGGCTTGGTGGACAGACATTTCCCAAAGTACAATGTCTCTGTGACGCAGAGACTGTTGCATGCAGGCCCGTCAATAACTCCGGTCTTGTATTTGTCACACTGAAAACCAGGAAAGAAAAAGGTGGTAAATGTTTATAAGCAGAAATAGCTGAAGGATCCAAGAAACTGGTAGTTACAGTCTCTAAGAGGAGATTCTCAAGCCGGTGGCAGTGACGCATGTCTTTAACCCCAGCACTCGGAAGGCAGAGGCAGGCGGTGTGGATGTAAACCTGTTTTTGTTTGGGTCCCAGGTGTGGGATGTGGGGCTGATTCAGATAGTCACAGCAGCAGACTATTTGCCTCGTGTAGTATGAACATGAGGCAGTATGGTTTCTACTCCTTTGAAAAAGAGAAGTACTGCATTTAAAAAATGGTTCTGATTTTTTATTAAATTTAGGCCTTGTCTCAAAACTCACAAAAAATATATTAATGTATCCCTAAACACAATAAATGAAGACCTACTAAATGCACAGATCATGAGCCCAGAAGCAGAGATTAAACTTCCACTGAGACACCCCCAAAGCTGGCACCCAGCAGGAGGCACAGCCGAGGAACGCAGCTGACATCCTGGCTCGCAGTGCTTAAAGGGCCCAAGCTGTGTGAATGTCCTAGAATTCCATCTGGCTTCATCAACGCAGGGCTGAATGGCAAAATCCTTAAGCTGTTGTCTTTTGTGGGAGGCAGACAGGTGACCAGAGTTTGGAAGGACTGTGGTAAGCAGACCTCAGATGCGGCGAGCTACACAGGTAGCCACTGTCTCCTGGCCTCACCTTTTCTCTCTCACACAATGCACACAGACTTCACTTCTAGCTTGGTTTGTTGCCCGATAGTTTATGAAAGGAATGTGAGAAGCAAATGTCAAATAAAAACACTTCATAAACTGCTGCGATAAAGAACAGAAATAGTGCTATGAAGTCAAAGAATTTACTGACATCCTAAATTAAGACTTCAAAGCATCAAAAACAATAAAACAACAGCAGGAAATGTGAAATAAGCTAATGAAACTTAGCAACGAAAGAAACAAAAACCTAGAAATAGAAAGCCACGCTGTGGGGCTGGAGAGATGGCTCAGAAGTGCACTGGCCGCTCTCCCAAAGGTCCTGAGTGCAATTCCCAGCGACCAATGGTGGCTCGCAACCATCTGAGATAAGATCTGGTGCCCTCTTGTCATGCAGGCAAAACACTGCATAAATAAATCTTCTTTTTTTTTTTTTCCCCAGAACTGAGGACCGAACCCAGGGCCCACTGAGCTAAATCCCCAACCCCCTTGCCTTTTTTTCTTTTTTAATAAATCTTAAAAAAAAAAAAAAAAAAAGTCACATTGTAGAGACTGGAGCAGTGGCTCCGTGGTTAAGAGTGGTTAAGAGGACTTGCTGTTCCTACAGAGGATCTGGGTTCAGTTCCCAGGGCTTACACAGCCACAACTAACTTGAATTGTGGGGATTTGACATTCTCTCTAGCTTCTACTGCATGAACACGGTATACATACAAATGAGCAGGCACATAGACCCAACCCAGTAAATAAAGGCACACTGTGAAAGGTCGTGTGGGAGGAGAAATAAGCAACAGTAAGGACACAGAAAGACCTACAGGGATTATCCTGAAGGAGGTTAAGAGCCCTTGCCATGTGCAGAGCCAAGTGCTAACACCTGGAGAAGTATCAGCTGCCAGGAGCAGATTTGAGACAAGCCTTGGACTGTGTCCTGCTTTTTCCTTTGGTTCTGGCTGTAACTAAGAATGTGCAGTTCTACCTTCATGGAGGGAGTCAAGCAACCTAGCCCCTGCCTCATGCCTCATGTCTGGAGGCCGTGCTATGCGGTGCTTTCTTTCATCTGGTCAGCCTCAGGAGATGTCTCAGGAAGTGCACATGTCTGCATGGCCTATCTGCTCGGCGGCAGATGGCCAACCATCTCACTGGTACGTGTCTTCCGGGAGCGCTGAGGCCTCACACTGTGGAGGGAAACCTCCCGCAGGGACAGTCCATATAGATTTAGACCATGGAGACCACATATTCTCTGACCACAATTGAACAGACTGGAAGGAAAACAGAAGTCATTGGCGTTCAAATACAGCCCAGTGAAAAAGAAAAAATAAGGTGAAAATAAAACTTCCTGAAAGGCTATGCAGGAAGAAGAAAAGGAGGCTGGGCATTGGAAGTAAGAGTTCATTAGAGCTAGGCTGACCAGCTGGCCTGGGACTAGCACAGCAGGCTTAAAGCTGAGTCAGGCCCTGAGTCCCCACTGAAGGTCTCTGATCACTGACCTCTGCTCCCCTCCCCCCTTCCTCTAAGCCCCTTAACAGCCACAGCTCCATGCTGTCTCTTCAGGGCTCTGTGCAATATGCCTGCCAGCTGTTCAGAGGGATCCAACCCGAGAGTGGACAGCACAGGTGTACTCCCTTTTAAAAAATTACTATGAAAATTTATTATGTTCCACAACATTTAAATTCATTTTTGTTTGCTTAGAACAAGTCCCTTATTAGTAAATCAGTAAGCAGCGACTAGTCTGGTACTCTGATGTAAGAACAAGATTTCCTGTTGTGAGTGAAGGCCCCAAGCCAATCCTGCATAAAAGGGCAGTCACAAAAAACAGGCTTTTCAGCTTTTGGCCTTCCACCACAAGCCAAAGGCAACCTTCCCAAACATTTGAGTGAAAAGAGCAGGTGGCTTCATAAAATGTCTACAAAAATGTCCAGCTGTGCATACAAATAACCAATAGTTATTAAATAGCCTTTAAGAAATTAAAACCCCCTAAGAATGATTACTATTATTCTAATAAACAGCACACTTTTGGCTTTGCCGGCACGTACCTCATACTACCAGAAGAGGGCAGGATTTACCTTTCTTTTTACAGAACCCGCTTGTCTTAGGGAATCCTAACCCTAAACTACAGAGGACCAAGGGGCAATTACAATGAACATATGTATAGCACTCGACTTTGTAACTATCTTCAAAATCCACGTTCTAAAATGTACTTCAGGCGTCACTTTCAGACTGCCCCTTCTTTTTAACAAGACTAAAAAGCCAAAAGCACACAGAGACACATGCACAGAAAGAGACCTACACACACACTGGGCCACGGCACACAGGAACACACAGAAGCATACAGGTGGGCACACACATACACACACAGACAGACATACACATATACAGACATACAACACCCCCCACAGACACACACAAAGAGACCCAGACAGACACACACACAGAGACAAAGACACAAGGTGCATACACAGACGCGTACGAAGACACACAGACACACACGGACACACACAGAGCTAGCTTTCTCCCAGTGCCTGAAAACTTCCAGTCAACTTTTTCTGTCTTCTCTCTGCCCCACTTTCTGCACCTCTTACGCGCCTCATTGTTTCCTGTTGACGCCTTCCTCTCACACAGTAAAGACGCTCCAGCAAGGCAAAACTGGATGAAATACTGTTATTAAGACTGTCTAGCCAGGAACATGGTTCCTAATGGCTTCAGTTTAGCAGATCCTAAGGTGGCTGTTTTACGTAATAAACCACCATCCTTGGAAATTGACTCTCAAAGGAGACTGTGCTTAAACTAGAGGCCTCGCCATCTTTCAGTGCCTCAGCTGAAAAGGTGTGCCCCTGTAATACTCAGAACAAAATGTGCCGTGGGCAGTGCTCAGAGAATGCAGATGGGACAGAGGACTCGGGATGGACCCTGCAGCCCTGAGAGATACGCAGAAGTTCTTCTCTTACTCAAGCCAATGAAACGGGGCATGTCTAGGAAATCCCACCCACAGAGTCCAGTTATACAAGACTTCTACATGGCTGGGCACCAAACAGGATTGGCTGAAGTGATTTAGTAATTAGGGAATTACAGTATGTTATGGAAGGAGCATATCTGGAAAAGAAAGCTGCCCTCTGACTGGCTGAGTGGTGCTCTCAGTTTTTAGAAGCAGCTTCTCACCCTTCACAACTCCCACAGGCTGCCTTTGGCTTCCTGCTACCCAACTGCAATGCAATTCCTGTTTCCAGTTATAAAAGCCTATTATCAACAGACGTGGTGGCTCACACCTAGAAGCCAGAGGCTGAGACGGCAGGCCCAGGGACAGCCTGAGTTACAGAGTCAGTTCTAAGTCTGGGCTACAGAGAGATCCAGGACCCCCAACCCCCCCCCAAAAAAAAAAAGAAAGAGAGAGAAATATTTTCATTTCTAGATAACTGTGAAGCCAAACAGGAGCCATGTCGTTATTAAATCTCCACACCTTACAAGAACTAAGTCTCTGTCTCCTAAGCCTAACATGTCCTGCAAACCATGCTCCTCACCTGTGCTGAATTTCTAAGCCCTCTGCCTGGCCAAGCTCCGGAGCACCTGTGATGGCTTCTTGCACTTTCTGCCTCACAGGCAGCCTGAGCCTCAAGCCCCCACTCTTCTGTGCAGGTGCTAATAGCCGATTATCCCAACAGCTGTACCCTTTCCCATAAATGGGACCTCAAAAGATGGTGAGGGGTGGCTCTCTGAGCCTGACTTAGCGGGAGAAAGATGCCTGGCCAGTCCCTGTGCACTTGAAATGGTTTTTCCTCAGGTGACAGTAACCAAAGCCCCGGCCACTTGAAAGCTTTGCGGGCTTCTCAGTGTTCTAGCTACTCCCAAGCCAGTGCTCATCAGCTGTGCTCTCTGGGATGAAATGCCCGGCAAGCCCGACTCACAATTTGGAGGAGAGACACTTTCTTTTCTGTGATTCCAGATCCTTCCTATTCTACAGGGCTCTGGGAGGTTTTGTTTCGAGAGAGGGCAGGCATTGCTATGCAACCCTGGCTGGCTTGGAGCTCACTATGTAGCCCAGGCTGGCCCTGGCTCACTGCCTCTGCCTCCCAAGAGAACTACCTCTTCTAAGCTCTCCTCTGCTCTTCTGCCCACTCTGTCTCCCTGTCGGTGAAGCTGTCATTCTTTAGATGTTTACAGCACAAGTCTTTGCAGTAAAAACTAAGTTTTTAACTTGCGATGGTGCTTTGTTGAAGTCTGGCACTTTGACACAGGATCTCATGTAGCCTAGGCTGGCCTCAAGCTCACTGTGGAGCCAGGGCAGGATAGA